GAGGCAGATGGATCTCTGTGAGTTTGAGGCCAGTCTGGTCTACATAGTGAGTTCCAGGCCAGCTGGGGCTACAGGGAGACCCTGTTTCAAAAAGACCAAAAAAAACCCAAAAACCATACATAGTTAGGTACCCAACCATATACACTTAAAATATGATTCGGACCAAAACAAAGGAAGGAAAAATCATTTTTAAAATTTCAGGTTAAGGCAAGTTTTATTTTCTCTCTTAAATAATGTAGAATTAGAATTTCATCATCTTTTTCTCCAGTAATGGTCTTAATTCTTTCCCCCTTTAGTACTAGGGAATCAAACCTTCAGCCTTGAACATGCCTGGCACATATTCTACCAAAGAGTCATTCCCTCCCTACCCCTATTGAGACAGAGACTTGCTATGTAGCCCAGGCTTGCCTTCTGCTTCTGCTTCCTGAGGGCTGAGATTGCAGACATGTGCCTTCAGGCCTGGTCACAGCCTTTTGAGACTGTTAACAAAGAAATGATAGAGATGCAGAGATAGCTATACATTCTTTCATTCTCTCTACCTAAAAAAAATCATTTTACACACATTCTCGTTTATATTCAAAAAGACACCCTGAAAAATAAGAGCAACATAGGGGCTAAGAGTACTTGATGCTCTTGCAGAGGACCCAGATTTAATTTCTAGCACATACATACAAGTTCACAATTGCCTGTAATGCCACTTTTAGGAGATCTGATACCCTCTTCCGGCCCTTGAAGGCACTAGGCACGCACATAGTGCACATACATACATGCAGGCAAACACACACATAAAAGAAAAATAAGTAGTTTTTTAAAGAGCAAGTGAAAATTTGATAGGCTATTCTAAAATGTGTATATAGTGGTACTATAATTTCTTGGAATACATAAGAAATACAGTTTTTGAAATCAATTAACCCTAAACAACACATTACATGTTTCCAAAATCAATGGCCATTTAACAAAATGTAAGGCGACAATATCAATGAACCTTCACACTGGGCCACATAATCAACAGCAAGCTATTCGAACTAAAAAATACCAATCTGTTTTTGTACTCTCCATGCATGTTTTTAACTTGGCTTCATAAATCTTTGATAACTGAGGCTCCTTTTAAGTATGAGATTGCCAACATTAATAATTATATTTTCAAAGGTAGGGATGCAGCTCAGGGGTATAGTGCTTGCCTAGCATTCACAAGGCCCTGGGTTCTATCCCTACCACACACAAATACATATATATTATCTTTAAAATTCCCTTCTCTGTACTTTAGTGTCTACCTCCCACCAGGCAGTGCCTCCCCACCAGCAACTCTGTTGCTATAAAGTGAACAATGCTTCAGTGTGCTCTGATGGCCACAAAGCAATCTGTAATCCAATTTCCTAACTATTCACAATTTTAACTTTCTGCCAATATGAACAAAAGAACTCAAGCAGCCAAAAGTTTCGGTAAGAGGGAAACTGCAAAGGTAAAAGATTATTTCACTTTCTCCATTTTTCAAGCTACAAGTACTCTTTAGACTAGCAATAAATTATACTTTACAGGGCTACACAGGCATAGATTTGCTCTAGAACACAGAACCACAGTAAAAACTAAATCCTTCTACTTCATAGTTTAATTGGTTATTAAGTAGTTTCCCTAAGAGAAAAACAATCATTTTGTGTTTAAGAAACTTGTACATTCAAATGAACGGCTATGTGTCTACTTCAATCCTAAGGAAGCCTGTAGCTGGTTTATTGTTTTGTTTTCCCAAAGAATGCATTGCTGATATACATCTCCCACCTTCATACTGTGATGGAACAGAATAGACAGACGCATGCAGTCTGTGAAGTGCACAGCTGCAGAATATTCCAAATGGGAAAACATCAATCGTTTAAAGGAAAACTGAACCAAAGTCAAGAAAAATGTTAATGAGTATCTGCTCTTTACAAAAACTTATTAACAACACAAAAAAAGGCATTTTCTATAATATAAAAGGCTGAAAAGGGGCTGGGAACATAGTTCAGTGGTAAAGCATTGCCTAGCATGTGTGAGGCCCTGGATTCAATGTTCACTACTATGTAGAAAACAAAGCCCAGGTAGGAGGGGACAGTCTAGGCCACTCCAAATTGAAACAGCTCTTCACAAACACAGGGACACGAGACAGAGCTCACAGAAGTTCCTATCTGTAAGAATATATTAATGTTCAAAACAAAATCCAGTGTGGGTTTTCCTCCTCAGGTAGGTTCTGTGTGACACACTTCCCATTAAAGCCTCTCCAGGCGCATAACCCGGTTCTTTACTGTGAAAGCTGCAGTTCTCAGTTCCCATCAGTGACTTGCTTTTCCATCCATATTTATATACATTTTATTTCCATTATAAGACACTTATTATCTTTCTAGTGGTTCATTTCAGTCCACATATTAAAAAAATTGATTTTTACATGAATCTTTTTAGTACTATAGCATGATGAATTTAATAGCTGAAGTGCAATAGGGGCAACTACCTTGTACTATTTAAACTAACAGCCACAGGAAAATGTTTAACTAAAATACAACCAGGGTGAGAATGCAGTTATGAGCAGAGAAGTATTAGGAAACAGTGAATGAACAAATAAGGTAATTTTTCATCAATGGCCATTCATAATTTTGCCTTTGGAAACTTGGAAGAAATTGTCATCTTTGAGTTTCAAATGTTCTGGTAAATCTAGCCGTTTTTTAGCTTCTTCAATATCACCTTGAATCTCTGAAATAAGTGACTCTGTAAAAAACAAAAGCAGAAGAAAAACTGTAAATATTTTTACCAATCCTTTGCTCAGCTTCTCCTAAGAACTCACAGGTTAGCCATATCTCTGGTGAAGGATAACACCCAACCCTTTTTCCAGGAGAAAGTCAATGCTACATAAAGTATTCATCTGTTCTTCTTTTTTATTCATTCTGAAAGATTTTATTAACTTTATGCACAATGTCTGGCCAGCCTATGGGGTTACATGCCAGACTCCATCACTTACAACCTAACTGCTATGATTAGAGTCCCCTGAAATCCTTGTACTGGAAACTTAATCTCTAAGGTTGGCAGCACTTAGAAGTGTCATATGGGAAGTGATTGGGCCCTCCGCTTCCAGTGCTTGCTTGAAGATGTGATCCCTTGCTTGGCTTTCTTCTCCAGCCACCTCTGCCATTATGCCTTCCCCACCATTATGGACTTTAACCCTCTGGAATCATAAGGGCAAATAACCTCTTCCTTTTATAAGTTCCCTTGGTCACAGTGTTTTATCACAGAAGTTGGTACCAATAGAGTAGAGTGTGGCTGTGAAGAATCTGACCATGTAAGCTCTTTAAGGAATGTGGAAGACTTTGGACATTTGGACTCAGAAAGTGATTGAATGCTGTAAGCAGAACCTACTAGGAAGCCTGGAAGAAAGTAGTGTTGAGAGCAAAGTAGTTCCAGAGGGAAATAAGGACTTAACAATTGGGATGTTTTCGCAAACATCTGGCTGCCATTTGCCCACAGGCTAAGAGCTTGCCTATGGCTAAGTTGACAAGTAATGGACTAATTTCTTCTGTGGGGGGAATTTCAAGGCAGCCTAACATTGAATCAGTGGTGTGGTTATTAATGGTTAATATTATGGAGATCTACAATGAAAAAAAGCCCAATCACAAGGGCAGACTTGATTAATGGATTATTGAGGGAGTGGCCATCTCTCTAGGACTCCTGTGGTCTAAACCTGTGTTCCCCGCCCACTGAAGCAACAAGGAGGACCTCACCAAGTACTGGCCATGAGCTTAGACTCCTAGACTCCAGAACTAAATTAAGTATATGCTATACAGTCACACAAAAAACAGACTAAGGCAATTTCCTCATCAATCAAATGGGGAAAACAACTCTTCATATGGCTATTGTGTGACAAAGGAATTAATTTGTGTAAGATACTTAAAATAGTGCCTGACATACATTAAATGCTCAAATAAATGTGTTGCTATCACTACAACCAGCAGCAGTTGTAGCAGCAGTAATAATATTAAAGAAGATCAATATAGGATCTTACCTAAAGAATCAAAGTTCTTTTCTGGTCTGAGGTAGCCAACAATGGCTACATTGAGAATTTCTCCATAGAAGTCCTCTTTAAAGGTATGGATGATACAAGTTTCCTAAAAATAAAAATGTTGAAAAGATTAGAATCAGATTATAAGGTACCTGAAATTTAAAGCATATCTTCACGTTTACAATGACTTAAATAATCCTCATTAAAAATTTTAAAGGCTCCACCCTTTCTTGTGCCCTTTTAAGGTTGACAAGGTACTTTAAAAGGCTAACACAGAAGGGTAAAGGAACTCTCCATAAAAACCCAGAGAGACTGTACATCTCCTCTTTGGATCCTGTCTGGAGTCACACAGCACACTGAAAAAATTATAATAACAACAATTTTAAAGACCCTTCTAGCACTCCTATTTTATGCCAATCTTACACAAACACTTGGTAGGTAAGGCATAAGATATGCTATACCACAAAACTGGTATGAGTCCCTGTTTAAAATGATGGACAAGGTAGAAGAATCTCTCCAGTTCAGATAACTCATCCAGTTTTAGTAGACTTGCTAAAGTGTACATCTGAGCTCAAGCAGCAGAAAGCTGGGCCTGGTAGTATACACCTGTAACTCTAGCAGTCAGGAGGCAGTGGCAGGAGGACAGAAGGTTAAAGAGGCCCTGGATACTTACAGATCCAGTCTCAAAAACAAAAGCAAAACACTTATCATTCCAGCAGCCTGAGGTTGAAGAAAGAAACCTAGAATTCAAGGCCAGCCTGGGCTACCTA